GCAGAGCTGTTATCAAATGGCGTGTAATTACTAGGCAAAGCTTAATCTATGTACCTATGTCACGAACGTTAGACTGACTGCGATATACTGTATCATCTCAAGTCGTGCAGATGTTCTCAGCCATAATAAGCGCTCGCTTCGCTTTATAAAGGTTCGCACAGGGTGTAGGTTGTTTTAGGGGCTACAATATAGAGAGGCGTTGCGATAATCAAATCCTCGTATGTTGAGAGTTAATTTTCAATGTTTCGTTCGTATTAAATGGTTTTGGTTTTATTATGTTCTCAATATTAACTCACGCGCGGTAATGCTTTCATGTGATTAATAGTGGACTTCTTTTTCTATTAAGAAGTTCTGTATGTTAAGATGGGTTTTTTTTATGGTTTTCTTTTCTTCCTTGTTTTTATTTCTCTCGTCTCCTTTTATCCATAGAATCACGGCTCTCTTTCTTTTGTGCAGCTCCGGCTACATCTCTGTGCCTTCATTTCTCATGTTGTTTGTGCGCGTCCATGCTAAGGATTGCAGTATTTTTTGGCTAAGGTCCTCCGCGGAAGGTGTTAATAAGCAGTGACTATCTTACCCGGGGTCTTTTGTCTGGCCGGCTAGCGCATGTCAGGTGAGCCAGGGCTTATGGTTTTGGGTGTAAATTATTATCGGCGGTCATGGGGGGTTAGGGTTTTAATGGCCGGTCCTGATATGTTTTTTTTCATTGGTGGGGTTCGACTTTCCCGGATCTGGAGGAGTGGTTTGACAGGAAGGTAAGTCTTGCTGTTTTTTTTGCGTGGGCGTGTCCCACCTGGGGATGCTAGCGTTTTCTTCTGGTTCGGCTTCTTAGGCCGTCAACCCGAGATGTCCTTTCAGTTTCCTTTCACCCGGTCACGTCGTTTGGGTTAGTTTTTTTTTTATGTGTGTTATGTTTTTGTTCCATCCTTAATCCGCTTCACCATGTCTTTGTTGTTGGGAAGGCTTTTGGCCCACCAGACGGCCCCCGGAGGCCAATTTTTGAGTGACCGCGCTCTTTCATCCCAAATTGCCTAGCTGTTTGTTCTCGTTCCCGTAGTTCACATCCCTCCTTTTACCCACCGCCTTCTTTCCGTTCTATCCCCGTCTGTACACTGTGTGTTTATCCTCTTCCTTCCGACGTTCTCTTCTTTGTCTCTCCGCCCCTGCGGCGGCTGTGTTCCCTGCCCTCCCGCGTGCACCTCTCTGCGGCTGTACTCCATTGTCAACTCCCGTTTTGTCGCCCTATTTCATTGTATCGTTTCGATTCTTGGTTTGAACTTCCTGTATGGCATGCTGCTCTCTGCTGTTGTTCCACTTGTTCTTTCTGGACTGTTCTTCGTTACCATGGGCTACCTCCGTGCCCGATTTGGCTTGTCAGCACCTTCCGCTTTTTCTCATTTATCCGATTTTTTGCATCTGGTCACACCACCGGTCTGTTGCCTCTTTGTCCAGGGCCTCCTTTGTCGCCGCCACTTACATCTTTTTTTTGCGGTTTTCCCGTGTCTTTCTCTTCCTTGTGTGGTCTTTTACGCCTGCCCCCGCCTGCCAGGGCCGGCAGCTGTTCGGGACTGCTCTCCGCGCCCTCTGCAAGGCTTCAGTGTGCGTGCTGCTTCATTTTGTTTTCATCCCCTCTACGTCTCCCATCCCCAGCAAGCGTCCTGTCGCTCCTCTTTACGTCTTGCTTCCTCCGGCTCCTGTTCGATCTCTCCCGGCGGGCAGGCGACGGCGGCGTCACCCTTCTGTTTCGTTTAGTTTCGACCTTTCCTCGTCTCCCGCCGCTTTTTTTTGCTGTGCGCTGACGTGATGGGTGGCCCCTGCCGTCCGCTCCATCTGTACCTTCGCTGCAGAGGGCTTGACTCGCCGGTCTCTGTCCTCCATCTTCCTTCCTGTCCTGTCTTGGTCGGCTGTCTCCCCCGGCTCACCCGCGTGCCCCGCACAGGGATTTTTTTTCATTTTTTTATTTTTTTTTTTTCCCCGCGTTTGTTGCCTACCTTCACTCAGTACCCCAGTTGTTTTCTTTCCCTCTTGCTCCTCTTGGGCTTTGGCAACTCTCCTGTTGTCCCTCCACCTTCTTTCCTTTTGTATCCCGTGTTCCTGACATGCCGTTTATTGATCCCCGTGTCACCTTGCCGCTCTGCTTCTCCGGGTGCTCTATCCACGCCTCTCCTCTCCCTTCCTATTGTCCTGTACGTCCCTGCTGCCTCCACTCCCACGCGCTGTTGGCCATCTCTTTGCTGGTCCGGTCACCTGCTCCTCCGGGTTGTGCGCGACAAGCCGAGTTTACCCTGCTCTCTTCTGAGCTCTTACTACCCAGCTTCCGACGCTGCTCTACTCAAAAAAACCTCTGTTTTTTTTTTTTTTAACCTTCGGTATGTAGCCCTCTTCCGGACTCTTGCATCTTGGCTTTGAGCGCCTGGTCCTCGCCGCCTGCCTCCCGTGCTCTGTTCCACTGTCTGCATCCGCCTTCGCGCGAGTGTTCCGCATGAAGACCCGCCCTTCCCAGCTCCCATTTATGTCCCCCCGATGTGTTTTACCCTGGTTGGCGGTAACTATTTGGTGCCTGTGGCGGGCATCTTCTTGGGTTGCTCGGGGTCTCGTTGCCGCATCAGTGCCTGTGCACCGATCGGGCCACTTCTTGTCTCGCCGTGGTTACGGCCGGTTTCTTTGGCTGTCCTGGTTTGTTTCTTGTGCTGGTTCCCGCCTTTACCTCGCTGCCCGCGCCTTCTCCAGACTCTGGCCAGGTTCGCACCCCCTTCCCCTCCCTGGTAACCGTCGACGTCGCCGTACTGTGCCCTTCACCATCAGTCGTCTTCACTCCCTGCGCTTCGTCCAAGTTCCTCACGCCGCGCGTTGCGCTTGCCTTATTGCTCGGACCTCCCATTCGCTTTTTAGACCTTCCTTTTCCTTTGGATTGCCTTCCTCATTTTTGCACTGCCTGGCCTCGTACGGGGTGAGGCAGTGTGTCTCCTCTCCGTCCATCTCCACGAGGGCACGACACTTTTTGTCTCCCGTTCGCATCACTCTTTCCCGTGCGTTGCCTATGTCGAACTGCACAAGCCATCCCAGTCCGACTTGCAAGACAGCTTCCCTCACTTCGCCCCCGCTGGCCGTTTTCCTCTCCTTTCCTCACTCTTTCATCCTCTCTCTCTTTTCGGCTCTATTCGCGCCCTCTCCCAACATACCCACCGCCCCGGCGTCGCGCCTGCCGTGCTCACGCTCCCTTCGGCCCAGGTGTTGCACTCCTCGTGGCGGCCCCACCCCAGGTTTACTTGCATGCTTCCTCTGGTTTCTCTGACCATTCTCTTGCTACCCTCACTATTCAGCCTGCGGCCCCCGTTCTACGACATTCGTCGCCAGCGTCCGGGCTACCTGAGCTCGTCGGCTCCTGTACCGGCGCGCCCAGACGTTCTTCATTGGGCCTTTTCTCCGCCCCTCACGTCACGTTCCCAATTCCACATCTCCCGCCTCCTCGTCTTGCCTTGTCGACCTTTTTCCTCATTCTGCGGGGTGCCGCGGCACGGGCCGGGGGGCCCCAGCACGCTCTCGGCTCGGTCCGTCCGAGGTACTTCCCGTGCCACCTGAACGTCTCTTCAGGTTTTACGTCCAACAGTCACACGGGTCCCAGGTCACCGCCCAAGTACGCGTCGAGCCAGAACAGGGGCGACATTGTCCAGTGCAGTGTCTAAAATCTTGTAACTTAATAATACAAATAAACACGTCGTTGATCCTTTATTTAGGGTGGGATAAGATGATTAAACAAGTTTGATTGCAAGTTGCTCAAATAGAGCATTTTCCCAATAAGGAGAAATTAAATAACTTATCAGTAGGATTATTGTGATTTAAAAATAAGGACCTGTGATTTTCTTCCCACTGTGCGTTATTTAGGATATACCATGTGTGCACATCCTAAACATAAGTTTTACATTTATAGTTTATATTTGGCTTTAGTATTGCCAATCTTGAATTTCCTTTATAAAGTATCTATCTTCTATCTATTATTATCTAGCTCTATCTATCTATCTATCTAATTTGCAAGTAATTGAATTGTTGCAGTGAACATGGACCCATGTCTGTCTATGGCCACTTTGCCTGGTTAGTAAATCATCCTTGCAGAGGGTGCATGTGTGTGCACGGGAAGGTATTAGAATATTCATTGACCTGTTTGCGGGATGAGCACCTGCAGAGCTGACTCACAACCCCATGCTGTCTTCAGGTCAAATGGACACTAGATGTCGACATTGCTCTGTGTCTTGAGTCTTGTCTCAGGAAGGTGAAGGACACAAATGACCCCACATAAATAACCCCACTAAGTATTGGAATTGGTGGAATAAACAGACTTCATATCTTCTGACGAAACTAAATGGCATTTGATTGGTGACATTTCAACTGCCTATACAAGATTGAATTAAACGGATATATTTAATGTTTAAGTGCCTTTTAACACTTTTGTCAAAATACATGTGTTATTTACATCATAATATATACATAGTACAGCCCGACTGATACTGATATTGGATACATTATTTTGTTTTTTATCATAAAAAGAACTTTTTTTGAACATTTCTGTACTGTAATTTCTTGTTACTTAAAGAGCAATATATACCTGTACCAGTATATAAGCTTAAATTCAGCCAGGCTCTAGTAATGGCCAATAAATTATATAATTATTTTATGGATCCCATTGTTCAAAATGGTGTAAAACAAAAAGGCAAATGCAGTTAGTTACATCTGCTTTATTTGAGGAAAAATAATCCTTTATTTTGAGTATAAAAATAACAGACATCTGATGAACACATACATTCCCATGCATTTGCATTTTACTGTATTTCATGATCTTGCTGTTGGTTTGTACAGTATTTTCAGTGTCAGTAGTGTGTTGATGTTTCACATTATCACATCTGGAATCATTACTGGCTCCCATGGGAACTCCTTAACAGCAAACCTCGTAAAAGATGAATAAATGAAGCAGCAAAGAGGGGAAGGGAGATAACATCATAATATCAAATCTGATGTTATGATTATGCAACATTTCACTGGTCTTTTGCTGAGGATGTAAGAATTAATGATCACAGCTGCTTTGTTCTTCTTCTTTAGCCCAATATTTAAAATTTCATGACTCCGGGGCAAACAAACCACATACAACATTCATTTTACTGTTAAGGAAAATCTAAGGGGGTTGTCTTAACTGAGAGCAATCCTGCTTTACTTTCAACATGTTAAAAGTAAATTAAAAGAAATCCACAAGTCTTTTCAGATCTGAAAGTCAAAGGGTGAGACAAGTTCAACTGTTTCCAATGCAAAACATGTCTCATGTTTTCTTGCCTGAACCGACCAATCATCTTGATACAAGTACAATAACTTATTGCTTTTGACTTTATTCTGTTTGAATTTAAGTGTCACGGTTGTGCATAACCACATGGGTTATTCTCACCACAAAGGTTATAACTCAAACTCATCCAATCATCCAACCTTTCAATTATAGTATTATATAATATATATTGTAATATGATTAGAGACTTTGACTCCAAGGACCATTCACATGAGAGCCACCAAATTCTATTAGAAATCTTTTATCTGTAATGTGAGTGGGAAGAAAATACCCTTCCCCTGGAGAAACAAATCAACACCATTACTTTAAAAGTGAATAATTAGTAATTCATTACATTTGAGTAACGAGGAGGCCAACACTGGTCATGGCTGTCTATTAAATCTAAGTTGTCCGACATGTTCACTTTCTCCGTCCAATCTGAGCCAGCAGGCGCGCGTTCTCGGCCGCCTTGGCGCGCAGGTTTTTGGCCTTGGCCACATCAAAGAGGACGTTCATGATGTTGGTCGGGACGTCCAGGGACAGGGTCAGTCTGCTTCTCCGGTCCCCTTTGCTGCTGTTGCGGAGCATTTGCCCTCTGAGCTTGGTCCGGCTCATGAAGCGGTAGTTTGCGGGACTTGAAGTCCTTTTTTCCCGGCTGGACTCGGCAGAAGAGGATGAGGAGGAAGAGGAGGAGGTGAGATACTCCGCGGACTGCAGGAGGGACCCCCAGTCGTCCACGGGAGAGTAACCCGGCTCCTCATCGTCGCTCCGGACCCCGACTGCCACCTGGTCGTCGCACAGGAGATTGGAGCGGGAGTGGTAGAGGCGGAGGCACAGGCTGGAGGTCGGTGTGCACAGGACCGAGAGCAGCAGCAGGGTCTTCAGGGAGGACAACATGCTGTGTCCTCTGGGACCAACACAGGTGGAAAAAGGGAGAAGGAAGGCAAAGTTTATCACATGCCATTAAACATTTCAACATCTCATTGTCCACTTTAACAACAGATTTCCTTTTTGTGCAGCTCTCAAGTGTTTTAATGCTCAAGCAAGTGATAAAAAACGGACTTACAAAGAAGCGGATCTTAAAATAAAGTGTGATTGGTCTTAACATAAGCATTGTCTTGAACGAAATAGCCTCCTTTACACTATTATTTCTCCGTTCCTCTAATTAAAAATGTGGCTTTAGGACTCTAAGATTTTCTTTTAAGATCGATGGTTCAGCTTGTGTCCTTCAGAAAAAGTCTTCAAGCCTTTGCACAAGAACATATAATGTGTATTTTTGGACCATTAAGGCAACGGTTGAAATGCAACTGGGTCACAAAAATGTAAGCAATAATCTTTGCACAACTTACCACTCGTGTCCTATAATAAAGAAAACAGTTAGTGAGGTCAACCAACACGTATCTTTGCAAATAAAAAAAACCCCCACAAAAAACCAGCAGAAATCCTCAAACGTCAAAAGTTGGTAAGAAATCCCGATGAGCTGATAGTGTGTGCGGAGGGCAGCAGTGCGCGCTGTCTGACCAGCAGTCTGTGTCTTGCTCGTCCATTCCCACTGCATTCATTTAGTAGGGAGCCATCAAACTGCAGCCCTACGCCAGCAACAACGTCATCCCGTTGACATTTTAGTCCGCTGTGAAGTATCCCATTGGTTGTGTTGCAGTGATGTAGTGGTAATTTAAAAAAAAAAAAAAAGTTGGTAAATGTGACCTCCTGTCGGTGAACTCGAGGCATCACGACCACAGATAAAGAGAAAAACTTGTGTTTTTCATGCAACGTAAGACTTTAATGTATGTTTTACACGTTTTTTTTAACTGTAGTGCCCTTAAATTAACACTTTACTGCTCAATTAAAGACATTTTTAGAATAAATGTTTCATGGCTGTGAGATTGCGTCTTCAGGACCACATGCAGCTCCCTTTCAGAACCACGGACAGTTACATAATTCAGGACCACGAACAGTTCTTTTCATTTCTTAAATTTAAAGCATTTAAAAAATAAAAGAGATGACTGCGA